CCTTCCACGGTGCCTCAGGACGGGCCACCCCTTGGAGCAATCCCTGGGGTTTCCCCGGTGGCCGCTTTGCCGAAGCACATGTGGGGCAGCTGGCTACATAAGATTCAATGTCCTTCTTTAATGAGGGCCACCAAAATTGTTGTTTAATGAGATGCAGGGTTTTTACAAACCCAAAATGCCCAGCCATGCGTGAGTCGTGAGCACGTTGAAGGACCAGACCCCTAATAGTTGCGGGAACATACAATCCAAGCCAGGCCATCCTTCATGGTGCACTCATCGGTATGTTGGTGAAACCATTCATCAGTTTCAAGGGCCTCCTTGAGTTTTGTAACAAAGTCCTTTGTGACTTCCAAATTGGAACTGGTCTGGCTTCTGGTGATGACCCGAGCAGTGAGGCTTTTCGTTGGCATGACTGGGTGGATGACACTAAGCTTTGAGCTGTTATATGGAGGAAGTCTGGACAAGGCATCAGCCATAAAGTTCTTCCCTCCTGGGACATACTTCAAAGTGAAATTGAATCTATTGAAATGTTGTGCCCAACTCATTTGTTTGGGGGATAATTTCCAGGGGGGTCTTTAATGCTTTTAAATTTTTGTGATCAGTCCACACCTCAAAAGGGTGTTTAGCCCCCCCCCCCAATGACCCCAGGCCATCAAGGCCCACCTTACCGCAAAAGCCTCCTTTTCCCATATTTCCCATATTCCCATTGCCTCAAAGATCCAGCAAAGCTGGATCTGAGCAAAAGCACGCAAAAGCATTAGATATCAATACATGACCCATTCCCCTCCCCTTGGTAACCCCAGTCCATAGCCCAATCCAATATCTCCACAGCTGTCAGGTGGGAGACATCTTCAAAAAGCATTAGAGGCTGACACTTTCTTTCTTTCAATATCTAGTAAAAACTGCATGGAAAAAGTTGACATAGATTATAGCACTTAGCAATAGAATTTATACCTATAGTCAGCTTCATAGTGTTTTACATTCCTGTCTAAGTGGTTTACAGAATCAGCATATTGCCCCAGCAATCTGGGTTTCATCTCAGAATGGTGTGAGTCAACCTTGAGCTGGTGAGAATTGAACTGCTGGCAGTTAGCAGAATTAGCCTGTAATACTGCATTCTAATCACTGCACAACTACAACTCTTATACTTCATGACACAAACTTTGATCTTTTTTTCATGTTTCTCAACAAAGGACATAAGAACATAGGTCATCTGGTTTGCACTGCAACATCACAATGCACATTTTATCATTTGCCCCCTTGCTTCAAATCAAATGAAATCAATCTTTATTCAGTCATAGGTTAGCCAATAAAACACCAAGAGTCACAATTAATTAAGAGAAAGGGTAAAATGCATTTATTGAAAAATATTTGGAAAAATATTTGAAAAAATGTTAAAGTTAATAATACAGCATACTGTGTAGACTATAGAATGGTACTTGGTTGTGGTCAAGGAAATAAGATGAGATTGATGAGATAATAACATCTTGAGATAAATCAGATCAACCAGGAGATTAGTAAAGAGTGGAAATAATAATTTCTGGTGCTCTTTGCTTCTTCATTTCTCCTGCAGATGCCTATGCTTCTTCTCATATATTTTACAAGAGAAAAACTAGGGGAGTAATAATACAAAGCATCAGGAAAGGACCTATGTGGTGGTGTGGTAAGTGATTTAGACTGAATCTCCTTCAAATTATTACTATATCTCTTTTCTCAGTCTTCTCCATTATTACAGTGTATCTTCAACAGAGCAAACAACAACCATCCAGCTAAAAATGATCAAATATCTTAATTTAATAACAAGTAATAAATGCAAATTAAACATTACAAAACTATAACCTAATAAGAGACAATGTTTTCCCAGCAGATAATGCAAGTATTTGTATTTGTATTTGTATTCATTATACTTGTATGCCGCCCTATTCCCGGGGGGACTCAGGGCGGCGAACAAACACATGGGGAATTGGCCAATACAAAAACCAAACGAGACAAACAGGATACAAAGAAAAACTAAAACCTACACAACAATCAA